TGGCCAAGCCACTAACAGCTGTGCTAACTTTGCTCAGCTGGAAGCCATTCTTCCGATATACGGTATAATGCAAAGGTTATTAACAAAGGAATATTTCCTTCTGATGCCATTGGCACAATAGTCTATGAATAGTGCAGGATAAGTACCTTGAACAATATCAGAATTTTTTTTCCCCAAAAACATTTTTTTGTACACCGGAAGTTCTTGAAGGCTGTGCTTTGTCTGACATCCCATTCACTGGGAACTCAGTGTTGTTGAAAGAAAATCATTTAATTTGTAAGCATAACTATCAGCAGTAACTTTCATTGCATTCCACCCCATCAGTCATTCATACTGGGGAGTGGAATATACTAAATAGTTAGTTATTTCTCATGTACTCTCTCCAGCAGCCAGGCCACACATTTATTTGTCCCACATAGTGGCTCCTTTGTGTAAGTGGCACAGAGGGGTTGTAGTGGCTACCCTGTAAGATTAGAAGTTACTGCATAGCCCCTTCCTGTCCACAATGATTTCCTTGCTTCCCCAGCCTTCTGGGTCATGGGCAATGGGACTATTAGCAGATTTTGCTGTCTACCTAGCAGTGGCTATACAGTAAATCTGAAGGGAGGACTGCACACTAAAAACCTCATTAAACTGAACCTATTTTATAGAGATATCACTTCTCTGTACAGCATACAAAGCAGTCAACCAGGAAGCAAACTATCAAAGCCAGAATAGGCTACTAAATAACCCCTACATGGATTTTTTTTAACTCTTTACTGCATCACAACTGTGGAGAATATAGTTAATATATAATGGGTACTCTACAAGTGAAGTATTGAGCTAGTCTGAAATATAAATTAGAGAAGGACCCCAAAATGCAAAGTTTGAGGATAGACCAAAATTTTCTAAAAGTTCAGAATTGTTCTGAATTTGAATTTTGGTTTGTCCAAGTACAAAAGTAGCATCTGGCCTCAAAATTCACCTATTTAAAATATTTTGTTTTCAATACAAACAGTTCTCTCACATATACAATGAACATTTATAAACTGACTTAAGTACATCTATAAAGCCCCTCAGTTTTAGTTATCTACTAATGACTTTCAGATTCAAAGGAAAAAGAATCACATGCCAAAATATTTGTGACCAGATTTCTTAATTATATTTATAAATTACAATTTCTAATCATCCTAATGGCAATTTCTCCTACAATTTCAGCCCATCTCACAATTCTCTCAACTCTATTTTTGGTAGGTTAATTCATTTACTGAAATACCCAATTTTCTCTTTCCATGCACTGTGCACTCCTAGAAGATCCATTTTATTTTGTGGGATTTCAAATACTGTGCAGCTTTTGTTTCTGTCACATCAAATACACTTTTATTCCTTAGCTGCTTTAAAAAAAAAAAAAACACAATAAATGTTCACGTGCTACCAGCTTTTCTATATATCTCCCTGCATCTCTTTGATCAAACCCTTCCAACCATTCAGGAGTAATCCATGGGTAATTATAACTTCTTAGCTTCCTTAGCCTAAAAGGAGCCTATTTATCTCAAACTGTCATGAATTCTGATTTAAAATTATCAAGAGCCCAATTACCAACAGGAATAAAAGATACCTCTTGCCAATTAAAGTGATTGATTTCATATAAAACCTAGTAACATTTCGCTTTTTAATTATGCACATTCTTATCAAATGTGAAGAGGTTCATTCTGATTTTATTTTCCATTCAGAAAATGTAATACAACAAACATTAATCATATGCTGATAAAAATGCCAGACCTAATAATACTTGCACCATAATTTGACAATATCTAATCTCTCAAAGTACTCTGTCCATTTTTTATGGTTATTCCTGCTTTTCTCGGCTAACGTTTACTCCAGGATAGGGCAGGGGATATAAAATTGAATATAGCAAATAATCCATTTAAGAACTGATCCCTATTACTTTTTAAAAAACTTTTAAAAAGTACCAGCTGAAGAAAAGGAAAAATTAGGAGCAAATCTCTTTAAGCCAGAAAAAGAAGAAAATTCAGTTTCAGCTGAAACACTGAACATGATCCTTCAAATCATTCGCTACAGAATTGCCCCATTGATTCCAACAGGGCTACTTGCGTGAGTAAGGGTGTGCTCATAACTACTACTAAATCCTTGTGTCTCCAAACTCAGAAAGACCACCACAACTATGCCCTGAAAAGGCCCAATGCCAAGGAGAGGGACAGCCCTCACAACACAGGCTGGCCCCAAGTTAATGACCTCAGATTTCATATGAGACATGCTGAGTAAGTAAAAAAATGCTTTTATTTGATGTTGCATTTTTAAAACTGTGGATTTAGTTATACACCCAATTTGTAAAAACGTGGAAGGAGGCACAAAACCACCACAGCAAGGCCCCTTTCTAGTCTTGACCCTTTCTGAGACTGGCCAACATGTTCTCCATGTGATCTGTGGGTGGGCAGCTAGTGTATAGCCTCCTCAGCTGGCTGCCTGTGCATGGCAAAAACAGTGGCCGGTGATTTTACACTGAGGGGAAAAAGTCTAAAAGTAAATGTTTGTTAACCACAGCCTTTTCAAGTTCCAGCAGAGCATATAACTCACAAAAAAATCACCAAAGATAATCACAAAGGGGAAGGAGACCCTCAGACATAAGGAGGAGCTGGGGTGGGAGAATTCCTTCACAGAGGAGAAGCAGCAAAGAGTTCAGAAAAATTCCTAGACCTCCCTGGCCAGACTCAGACCCCATGGATCCCTTGCTTCCCTTCTCAACAGCTGAGAACGCCCCATGTCAGTCTCTCTCACACACATCACCTCAGAGAGCTGCAACTTATTGAAATGACATTTTAGTGTTGAAAATGCTGGTTTGTGGCAAGTGATATGTGGAAGAGGGATTGTCAGCGCTTCCCGAAGCCCCTTCTTAAAATTCCACCCCCTCCTCCCCACCAAAAACTCAAGGCAGGATTGAGGTAATTTCCCTACCTCTGACCATCACAACTCTCTAGCTACTGTTAAATTATCCCTGCCATTGATGATACCTAGGAGTATCATTTAAAAAAAAAAAAAAAAAAACCCCAAACCCCATCTTTTAGGAAAAGCAAATTTTTATCTACCAGATTGCAACAAATGACAGCTAATAGTCTCTAATCCATCTATCCCTTCACAGGTGTTCTATCCCTACTGCCTGCCTCTTGGCCTGCTGCCTCCACCTCCCCTCTCCCCACAGTCCCATCACCTATGATCAAAAAAATCCTTCACCTAGCTGCCTTTTCAACTGACCTCCCTGACTGCCTCCAACTTGTATTGTCCTTTCTAAATCCTCTCCCATGAGTCAAGAGTCCTAGATAGCAGTATGTGCTGAATGAATCTGGAGGGGAGTTAGAGGGACCTAATGGTGGGCAAATCCATCAGCAACAGCCCACCAAGGTGGGCTGCCTGCAGCAATACTAGTTTATTTTATGGCACAGGAGGGGAGTCTATGCTAGCAGAGAAGGGCTGCTGAGCTGGGGAGGGATGGAAAGTGCATACTTATTGAAGGAAGTTTGCACGAGAGTGAGGATGATGCTGGGACTTTTGGAAAACGAAGTCTGAAGAGGAACTTGGTGAGTGGCATGGGCAAATACTCCTGTCAACAGCAAATGCCAATCTGAATGGAAAGGTTCAAACTGTTCAATAAGCAGGATCGGGACTAAAATACTATCCAAGTGTATTTACTTCTTATTCCCTCACTAAGAAGGGAAAAATATAGTCTGAAAGCCCTCAAAAGAAAACAGATGCATTGTTCACTCAGTGTTCTGTTATAAGACTTTATTTTCTACACAAATTAAACAAATAAATTGGCAATGAGTTCTTAAAACAGCAGTCATAAAACTACTACCTATCAATTGGAATTTAATTCACCCGTGATGTAACTCCATTGACTTCAGTGAAGTTACACAGGGATGAAGTGGTCCATCATTAAGATTATTAAAGCTTTAAACACTGTTCTTGGCACTGTATAAGAAGCAAAAGACATATTCCTGCCCCAAAGAGCTTACAGTCTGAACAAGACAGAAAAAAATCTAACACGATAACATTAGAAGTCCCAGATGACAGTGTTAACAGAATCATTTGTTCCTTTGTTGTTTTTGTTTCAACAAAAGGCTGCTGGCATTTTTATTGGCATTGACTAGTGACTGTGGGCTATGCAGAACAAATGAGTTTCAAGGAAAAGTTATGTGTGGAAAGAAGGTCCCTGAAACCTGGGCTAGGGAGGGAGTTTTAGGTGTCCAGGAAAGCATGGATTAAAGGCATGTAGGTGAGTGGGGGAGGGGTACAGTTCTCTCTGGCAGAGTGAAGGAAACAAGACGGGAGTTAAGACTTACACCAGCTGGATTTGTTCAGAGCCCCACATGCAAGATGAGAAGGCTGACGTGATGCAGAAGATGAAGGAAGCTAGTGAAGCAACTAAAGAGGAAACATCAGGCAAGGGAGCAAGATGGGATTGTGGTCAGTCAGTAAGGAGGAGGATGCTGTAATCAGGTGTTCCATCGAGTAAAACTCGGGAGTCCAGTTTAACAGAGGGTTAAATTAAAATGAGGGCAGTTCTTGTGGGGAGGGGAAAAAACACACACAAAATTAAATACCCTACACTGGTTTCAAATATAAAATGCACAGAGAAACAAATCTTACACATTGATTTTACTACATACAAGTATACGTCTTGTTACATCTATAAATGACAACACAAATAAAAGGCCTAACCATACAAACACTTACTACAATAATGCTTATCACTATATTAAAGTCAGTGGGACTCCTCAGGGTAGTGAGCCTCATGCTGGTGAGCAGGTCTGAAGTCAGGAAATGCAGACATCAGTTTCCCCAAGGACTATGGAGATGCGTTCTTGGAATGTATTTGACATACCAACCAAGTATTTTCAATTACCATCAGTTCTAGCCTCATGTGCGTGTTCACAGTATTTATGAAATTCTGTTTATAGAACCAACCAAATTTCAGTAGTACCAACCAAATTTCAGTAGTACCAAACACTACTGAAATTTAGTGAGAACAAGGCATTAATTTGAAAAAAGGGATTTTTACAGTTACAAATAAGAGTAACAAAACACAAAGATTTTTTTCCACACAACTCGGATAGCTTATGATCACAATTATATCTGTGTAAATCCATAGTAACATATTGATGTCCATGGATTTGCAGCAGTGTAACTAAAATCAGAATCTGAACTACAGTAGATTACAATACTGTCCACACTTAGATTGCCAATAAAGTTATCTGCTTTGCAAATTTAGGGACCAATCCTGTCAGGTACTGAGTGTCCTCAACTTAAATGGAAGTTGAGGGTGCTCAAGATATTGTAGGACTGGGCCCTTCATCCTTATTTAGTTACCTACAATAGGTATATGAACTAAAACAAAATTCTTGTTTGCTAAAGTTGTGCATTTTATGCAGCATCACAATAACTGTCAAACCCTTTATGTTTTATTTCATTTATGTGCAACATTGCACTAATTCATGCACATTCATGGCTGATGCATCTGCATGAAGCTTCTCATGAATGTTGCAAGCTTCTGAACATCTTCTATTGTCACAGCATTATATAAAGAAGCACGTATTCCTCCCACAGATCTGAATTGAGAGCAAAAAATAGTTATTTTTGTACATATCAGTAAAGGTGTGCTTACCATTACACACTGCTATCTTCCCCTCAATATATGGGGATAATTCACATTCATGGTAATGAGAGGTAACATTCCATCTTTTGATATGTCCACACAGCTTCCCCTAATGTCAACGGGAGCCAAGCATCTATTTTAGCTACTTATATGGCCTCTATTATCCTAGGGTCTAAGCACCTCACAATCTTTAATGTATTTAATCTCAACACTCCTATGGGATACAGAAGTGCTATTAGTTCCCTATCTGTAAAATGGGGTTAAGACACAGAAAGATTACATGAATTGCTCAAAGTCACACAGAAAAGTCTCTGGTGGTGCTGGAAATTGAACACAGGCCACCCAAGTCCCAGGCTAACATCTTAATCTTCTTCTCCTAAGCATGTACATAAGAACAGCCATACTGGGTCAGACCAAAGGTCCATCCAGCCCAGTATCCTGTCCTCGGACAGTGGCCAATGGCAGGTGCCCTAAGGGGAATGAACAGACAGGTTATCATCAAGTGATCCATGCCCTGTCACCCAATCCCAGCTTCTGGCAAACAGAGGCTAGGGGCACCATTCCTGCCCATCCTGGTTAATAGCCACTGATGGACCTATCTTCCATGAATCTATCTAGTTCCCTTTTAAACCCCGTTATAATATTGGCCTTCACAACACCCTCTGGCAAGGAGTTCCAGAGGTTGACAGTGCGTTGCATGAAAAAATACTTTGTGTTTGTTTTAAACCTGCTACCTATTAATTTCATTTGGCAGCCCCTTGTTCTTGTATTATGAGAAGGAGTAAATAACACTTCCTGATTACTTTCTCTATACCACTCATGATTGTATAGACCTCTATCATATCCCCCCTTAGTCACCTCTTTTCCAAGCTGAAAAGTCCCAGTCTTATTAATCTCTCCTCGTACGGAAGCCATCCGATATCCCTGATCATTTTTGTTGAAGCTTTCTGAACCTTTTCCAATTCCAATATATCTTTTTTGAGATGGGGCGACCACATCTGCACACAGTATTCAAGGTGTGGGCATACCATGGATTTATATAGAGGCAATATGATATTTTGTGTTTTATTATCTATCCCTTTCTTGATGACTCCCAACATTCTGTTCACTTTTTTGACTGCCACTGCACATTGAGTGGATGATTTCAGAGAACTATCCACAATGACACCACTCAAGAAAGAGCTTGGAAACAGCTAATTTAGACCCCATCATTGTATATGTATAGTTAGGATTATGTTTTCCAGTGTGCGTTACTTTGCATTTATCAACATTAAATTTCATCTGCCATTTTGTTGCCCAATCACCCAGTTTTGTGAGATCCTTTTGTAGCTCTTCACAGTCTGCCTGGGACTTACTTATCTTGAGTAGTTTTGTATCATCCGCAAATTTTGCCACCTCACTGTTTACCCCCTTTTTCAGATATTCATAAACTATGTTAAATAAGACTGGGCTCAGTACAGATCCTTGGGGACATCACTATTTACCTCTCTCCATTCTGAAAACTGACCAATCCATGAGAGAACCTTCCCTCTTATCCCAGGACTGCTTATCTTGCTTAAGAGCCTTTGGTGAGCGACCTTGTCAAAGGCTTTCTGAAAATCTAAATACACTATATCCACTGGATCTCCTTTGTCTGCACGCTTGTTGACCCCCTAAAAGAATTCTAGTAGATTGGGGAGACATGATTTCCCTTTACAAAAGTCATGTTGACTATTTCCCAAATTATATTCATCTATGTGTCTGACAATTTTGTTCTTTACAATAGTTTCAACCAATTTGCCTGGTACTGAAGTGAGGCTTACTGGCTTGTAGTTGCCAGGGTCACCTCTGGAGCCCTTTTTAAAAATTGGCGTCACATTAGCTATCCTCCAGTCATTTGGTACAGAAGCTGATTTAAATGATAGGTTACAGTTAGTAGTCCTAAAATTTCACATTTGAATTCCTTCAGAACTCTTGGGTGAATACCATCAGGTCCTGGAGACTTATTACTGTCTAGTTTATCATTTGTTCCAAAACCTCCTCTAATGACATCTCAATTTGGGACAGTTCCTCAGATCTGTCATCCAAAAAGAATGGCTCATGTTTGGGAATCTCCCTCACATCCTCAACAGTGAAGACCGATGCAAAGAATTCATTTAGCTTCTCCGCAATAGCCTTATCGTCTTTTGAGTGCTCCTTTAGCATCTCGATCGTCCAGTGGCCTCACTGGTTGTATAGCAGACTTCCTGCTTCTGATGTATTTAAAAAAAAAAAAATTGTTATTACTTTTGGAGTCTTTGGTTAGCTGTTCTTTTTTGGTCTTTCTAACTATATTTTTACACTTCATTTGCCAGAGTTTCTATTTTCCTCATTAGGATTTATCTTCCACTTTTTAAAGGATGCCTTTTTGCCTCTCACGGCTTCTTTTACTTTGCTGTTTAACCACGGTGGCTCTTCTTTACTTTTCTTACTATGTTTTTTAAATTGGGGTATACATTTAAGTTGAGCCTCTATTATGGTGTCTTTAAAAAGTTTCCATGCAGCTTGCAGGGATTTTACTTTTGGTACAGTGCCTTTTAATTTCTGTTTCACTAACCTCCTCATTTTTGTGTAGTTCCCCTTTCTGAAATTAAATGCTACAATGTTGGGTCGCTTGGAGTTTTCCCCGCCATGGGGATGTTAAATTTAATTATATTATCACTATTACCAAGCGGTCCAGCTATATTCACCTCTTGGACCTGATACTGTGCTCCACTTAGGACTAAATCAAGAATTGCCTCTCTTGTGGGTTCCAGGACTAGCTGCTCCAAGAAGCAGTCATTTAAAGGTATCAAGAAACTTTATCTCAGCATCCCTTCCTGAGCTGATGTGTACCCAGTCAATTTGGGGATAGTTGAATTCCCCCATTATTATTAAATTTTTTACTTTAATAGCCTTTCTAATCTCCCTGAACATTTCAGAGTTACTAACACCATCCTGGTCAGGTGGTCTGTAATATAGCCCTACTGCTGTATTCTTATTTTTCAAGCATGGAATTACTATCCATAGAGATTCTATAGTACAATTTAGCCTTAGATGGAGTTTACCACCAGCTTTGGGCTGCATTCCCAAGCAACCCAACTCCAAGAAGACCCAGTCCCGGCACACCAGGGGCCACTACCAGCCTCACACCATCCACAGACACCTCATAACGGTTTCACGCCTTCTTGCTCCTCCGCACCTGTTGGCTTTCCCCCAGCCCTTAGTTTAAAAACTGTTCTACGGCCTTTTTAATTTTAAGCGCCAGCAATCTGGTTCCATTTTGGTTTAGGTGGAGCCCATCCTTCCTGAATAGGCTCCCCCTCTCCCAAAAGCTTCCCCAGTTCCTATTAAATCTAACCCCCTCCTCCCTACACCATCGTCTCATCCACGCATTGAGACCTTGCAGTTCTGCCTGTCTAACTGGCCCTGCGCGTGGAACTGGAAGCATTTCAGAGAATGCTACCATGGAGGTCCTGGACTTCAATCTCTTACCTAGCAGCCTAAATTTGGCTTCCAGGACCTCTCTCCTATCCTTCCCCATGTCACTGGTACCTACATGTATCACCACCACCACCAGCTCCTCCCCAGCACTACACATAAGCCTATCTAGATGTCTTGAGAGATCCTCAACCTTCGCACCAGGCAGACAAGTCACCATGCGGTTCTCCCAATCATTGCAAACCCAGCTATCTACGTTTCTAATGATCGAATTGCCCATTACCAATACCTGTCTCTTCCTAATAACTGGAGCTCCCTCTCCCGGAGAAGTATCCTCAGTGCAAGAGGATACCACATCATCTGGGAGGAGGGTCCCAACTATGGGATCATTTCCCTCTGCTCCAGTTGGATGTTCTCCTTGCCGGAGGCTTTCATCCTCCTCAACAGCACAGAGGCTGTCAGACCGGGAGTGGGACCGTTCTACTGTGTCCCGGAAAGTCATATCTATGTACCCCTCTGTCTCCCTTAGCTCCTCCAGCTCAACCACCCTGGTCTCCAGAGTCCGTACACTGTCTCTGAGGGCCCGGAGCTCCTTGCACCAAATGCAAACATATGCCACCAGCCCATAGGGCAGGTAATCATACATGCTGCATTGGGTGCAATACACTGGGTAGCTCCCACTCTGTTGCTGGACTTCTACATCCAGTACAACCCCTTTGCCCAGCATGCTGCCTGAATAACCAGACTGGGAAGAACTGCAGAAGGACTTCGATGGTGAGAACAGGGAGGAAGTTTTCCCTACCTTCCACGCCCAAAGTAGCAGCAGCTCCTATTACAACCTCAGGACTGCCAGTCCCAATACTCCCACTGAGATGATAGCGCTGCTATAGTACTGGGGGAGAATGGCAACCATTTTGTCTCATTTTGCACAGGGACCTAAAAAAGTTATAACAAATGAATTCACCCAGGCTTGTACTTACCGATGTCCTTTCAGAGCGATCATATTCAATTCCACAGCTTTATCAAGGAATTTCTTTTCCAGCGCTTCATCACCCTTAATATTGCCAATGCGGAATGGAATATTCATTCTGCTTCGGCTCTTTTTCTCCACAGGGCATCTGAAAAATGCAATTATGACATTTTGTCCTTAATCTAGGTTCTTTTTTAATCCATCTATGGAAGTTATAATGGATGTATTTGCCTGAGTAATCACATTTGGTTAGCCACAAAAGTCACTCTCCCCTGTCGTTTCAGCCAGGGGTCACTTGAATGTTGATTTTATAATAAGATTCTTTTTTAAATAGTATGCTGCTGTGATAACAAATGAAGATTTGATCTTGCCTTTCCTTGCACACACAAACTTTCACGGAGGAGTGCAGGTTGTGCCCATACAGGTTTTCAGTGCCAAAACATAACAAATCCTTTTTAAAGTAGAAATTCTGTTGTATTCTCCACTCTTCTTATTGGATACAGAGTTTGCCAAGCCAATTTGCAGCAGCCTTGTCAGCGAAGTGCAGAGCCCTCAGACCACCACCAGATCTAGTCAGAGATGTGTGACATTGCCGGTCTTTGGCCACAGCAGCATGTGGGATTCTTTCGTTGGTCCCAGGCGTGTAGGCTGGCTGCACATTGACCCTACTCATTCAAAATCTGTTCAGAAGGGCCCTCAAGCAGCATGGAAAATCAAAGCCAGCTAAGTTTAAGTATAAGGGTTTGACATCAGCTGCAGACCATCCTCTATACCACATCAACAGCGCAGATTTCTCTGCGCTGGGCCAGTAGGCCCATAACAGGTGCCTTGACAACAATAGCGCTCTTGGGTGGTCGAAGAGGTCTGTATATGGTGGTAGGCTCGGGTTTCCCCTGATCTCTCCCTGCCATTCTGACTGTAGCATTCTCACAATGGTCGTGGAGAAGGAGTGATGTTGCTTAACACAGGGAGCCACAGGACTGGTGAAGGTTGAATCATCCCAGTTATGATGCACATGGTTGAGTGTAGTTGCGAGAGGAATGGAGCCAAACTGTAAGTGGGTGTTTAGACTACAAAACATGGTTAAGGCTAGGTCGAGGTTAGCTGGTCTAATGTTAGTCTAACTTCAAACTTCTTCCTTCTCTACACAGAGTGGCATCTTTTACCTTGATTCAGTTGGTCACAGTTCACCCTAGGTTTGGTCTTGATCAGTTAAATCAAGATAAGAGATGCTACCCTGCATCTAGACTAGAAGAAAAAGTTAACTGAGGTTAACTATGATGTGTTAGCTAACCTCAACCTAATTTTAGCCACATTTCCTAGCCCAGACACACCCTTAGTCTGGGATTTTCAAAGCAATCTGAGAGTTAGACCATGTCTACACTTACCAGTAGATTGGCACTGCTGCGATCGATGCAGTGATGTTGATTTAGCGGGTCTGGTGTTAAATTTCCTTGAAAAACACTTTCAGTTGTATTTGATGAACATAAGTTATTAATGGTTTTTAGGCCTGATCTTCCTCCCATTCATTCCAAAGGGAGGTTCTAGATATTGATTTCAGTAAAAAGTAGGATTCAGCACTATGGGTGAGTATGAGCATGTCACTCACTGGTCCCTGGACGAAAGGACAGGGGAGAGTTTAACACCATTTCTAGATTGTACAAAGAGATGGTGTGAAGAAGAGATTGGGGTGGGGGGAGCACATACTGCATCTTGTTAGAATATTAAAGCCCATTTTGGCATGTCTATTTTGAATCAGCCAAAGTACTTCCAGGGACATCGGCTATCTACACCAAATGTAGGCTATAGTATAAAAGCTTCTGCCCGTGCATCCCTTAAGGTGCAGAGATGGACCACTTTTTCCTAGGTACTGAATTTTATGTTTAGACGAGAGCTCTTAATATGCTTCCACAATTGAGCTGTACAGGGTAAGATTTAAATAACTTCCCATTGCAATGCAACAGATTCAGATCCATCCTTGGACACTGACCAGAGAAAAGGAGTTTAAGGTAATGCTTGTGCTAATCAACTCCCCTCCCACTGCCCGTGATTTTAGCATTTGGAAAAAGTTTTAGCAGCACTCAATGCTTTAGTTTCACTGTTTTTTTAAATTTATAAGTGTGAACACAATGTAACAAATATTAAACCAAGACAAGTTATTGCAACTTACACATAGAATCCATTGGATTCGTCAATAATGTCATAAATCATTTGTGATTTGATTGAACTCTGTTTATCCATAGCTGGAGTCCCACCATTGTTCTTTATCCATTCCAGGACCAAACTCATGATATAGATACTGAGGAAACAAAAGAAAACATTATGAAGTCATATTATTAAAAAATGGAAAAAAGCAGTAGTCAGGTTTCATTCTGAAAATTTCTCGACAATTAAGTGGAGATATATTATTGTTTTTAAATAACTTACACATTTAGCATCTGGACCACATTCCCAATAATGACAACTTTAAAGCAGGTGAAATTTCTGGGCCTAACTGGAGTAACTGTTTACTTCACAAGTGACAAGTTTGCTGGATGTAACCTAGTTCCTGGTGGAGTTTTCTCCATAAAATAATTGCACCACCTATTGACAGACGCTGCAGTCTTTATCAGGGCATGACTCCCATAGACTTCATTTGGGCATTTTGCCTCTGTAAGGACTGCAGAACTGAGACTGTAACTGGGAATTTTAGTAGAGAAATCTCAGGGAGACCCAGGGCTGGAACAGCAGATGGTTTTATAGACCCAGTGCCACTACACTGACAAAGCTCTGTGGATGATCTTGCATTGTACCTGCCTGCTTTATGCCAGAAATCTAGTCTTATTTTCATGACCATTAAACATATGTCCATGACCCCATTGTCATCTAATGTGAAAAATAACTTTAAACAATTATCCTTGTGGCAACAATAAATATTTTATATTTATTAATTCCAATTCAATTCCTAAGCACAGAGCTGGAAGCCTGTTGATTTCACATAGCTACAAATCAACTATCTCAAAGCCAGTTACCCAGTATTATGTAAAAATCTCCAAAGCCTTTTGCCTTTCTGCTTTGGCTACAAAACTCTGCTTGTTCGAGTTCAGGCATTTCCCACGACTACACCACTTTACATAAACTGTTCACAAGTTTTTATGGCATATTTCCAAAAAGTTTGCTTTTATTAATCCTTCTGTTACAGTTTCCAAGGAAGTTCTTAGACAACATTACCCTACAAATCTCTCTCATACAGATCTAGCAAGAGGTTTTTTTAACATCACTACCTTTAATTTCTCCTTGGATGCTAAATCTTTAAACACTTCAGAAACATTGTGGAAGGAGAGAGGTTATGGACTCCCTGTTATAAATTAACACAGCAGCTTATGGCTTTGAGGGCTCACCCCTGCAATCTTCATGACAGCAGAGTGTCATTTATCCCTATGCAGAGGTCTATGCATCACTTGAACTCTATTTTGAAGATTTAAGTGGTGCATAGCCTTTCCACTGGCCCTCTGAATAGGGGTAAATTTTGCAAATAGCCCATACTTACCCAAGTCTGTGGGCGACTTAGGCAAGTAAGGTTTGGAGGTCTGAGCCCTAAGTGACACTCTTAAACCAGTCAGCAAGAGAAAATCCCCTACCCTTCTGCCATGCCAGTCAAAAGGATTTGGAGAAGCTTTAAATATAAAATAAATCCTTGGAACTGAGAAATGAGATTTCTCCAGCAAATTTGCTATTAATTTTAGCAGAGGAGCTTAGTGTCAGAAAGTCAAGACTCTTAGTGCCAATAGGTTAAGACTATCAGCATCACATTAATTTAATTCAATGTTCTGCTAAGTGGCTCATGCAAATTCGGTTAATATTTCCTGCCTATTTGCCAGCTAGCCCTGGAACAGAATAGGGGGAGGCAGAAGGAAAGGAAAAAAGCTTTGCCATTTCCTTACAGAATAGAACAGGCATCCTAAAACCAAGCCAAACAGATCTGTATCCTGCCAAAATTTAGGTCAGTATTAAACACGGATTCTGGAACATCCTCCAACGTGGTTCACTGGCATGAAGTAAAAGCTGGCCAAGTACTGGGTGGGAAGAAGGAAGAGACTTTGGATCATAACTTTATTTTAAAATGACTGCATTTCCCACTCCAATTGATATGAATAGATATGCAGTTATAGCTGAAAAAGCACTTCCATTAGAAACAAATTATCACCAATGACTGAAATTTCTCAGTGTACTTTTCAGCCCAGAAATGAATTTTTGTTTGCACCTCAAATGTGGAATCTACGCTGTTGGAGTTCCAAGGTATGGTGAGTTTTTTGTTTTTCAAATGGAAACACACTTGCATTTGAAAAACCATGAATGGTTTGGATTTAAAACTTGGCATGTCCAAATACACAGTATTCAATACAGAATGTGTACTTTGGCGAGCAGGAAAATAAGTGGTTACAAAAAGGTTTTTATCAGCCAGTAAAAACAGCCTACTGAGCATGCACAGCACTTCGTTACACAGTTAAGTAAACAGGGAGGGCAAATATGTAAATACATGTACAAAGACCTTTATATTGACAAGGTCAACCCCCCTCCTCCGCTGAACAGCCTGTCCAACTTTTAAGAGGACTTTAGGAGGGACTCAGCAGGAGGTGCCGGTACCACCAGTTTCAAATGTGCGTGCTCTATAGGGTGCAGTGCACTTTGGAGTTCAAAGCTCCAGAGCGAGAGCCTGAAATGAATGTACAGTCTCTCGATTTAGTGCTCCATTAATAAATATAAATATAAAAAGTCATATTTCATGTCAGTACTGGGATTCCCATTTAATACATGCAACATTCAGGAAATTCAAAGTTACAGAGCCCACATCTCTGGTAACTTGACCCACTGCACATATATACTAAGTTAAGGCATTAAGGTAGACCCCAAATACAAGGATTATCATGCCTATGATATATACTGAATGTTCAATACGGCCCAATCCTAGTTTATGCTGGAAACAATGCTGAAATTCCTGACTTATGTGGGGAAAAAACCATCCATAAAATTGTATTAACGGAAGTTTTGCACCGAAGGATTTTGATCTTAAAAAGCAGAGTGTACTCTTTCCAAAGTTTGCCAGAAAACAGTATTCTGGGGTACAGGGCATACACTTTTTTTAAAACGAGTTTTGGATTAGAACAATGGTTGTATTTTATTAAATCACCTTTATATTGCACAAACTGTACAGGAAATGCTTCCAATCCCACTGAAGTCAATATAAGTTTTACTATAGATGAGGCAGGATCGGGCCTACATGTCTTTTGAATCTTCCACTAGCAAAGCCTGTTTTCTCTACTGTCAGCAGCTCAGTGTCACTATGCAGTAGCTGTGGAAGAGCAAGCTGTATTCTGTTGTGACTCTTCTATACACAAAATTGCCAGATACATTCGGATTCTATGATCTTGATTGCTGTTGATGATTATGAAGCAGAAAGAAGAGTTTTATTTTTGGATGTCAGATTGATCCTGAAGTGGTAATCTGCGCAAATTTACTATGAAAAGCTCTGACGGAGGATAAATACAAAATCACCAAGATGCCAGTTTTCACACTCTTGACTACAATCTCACTTTAACAGCTATTGCAGTAAATGATGTCGCAACAATAGAAAAGGTTTTAGGAAAAATCATTTAAAAGAATAAGTCTCTGCCATCAACGTTTTCCAGCAACGAAGATACAGAGGGATTCAGCTGTGCAGGATGCACTTTGAAAGGAAGGCCCAAAGTTGTGTTTGCTGAAGGAATCCTCCACACATAGCTACCCTTCTTCCTCCACCCATCATGCAGATAAGAGATCAGCCACCTCCACAGTACCATTCCCCACTCCCAGACGCTACACGGGAAGGAAGGAGGTGCAATGTAGAGGCAGGATATACATTGTCCCCTCCACCCTACGGGGGGATTCACTGCTTGAGGTATTCCATGGGCAGGGAAAGGGGGCCCTGGATGTGCTGTGGAGACAGAAGATCTATGTGTACATGGCTCTGGCCTTCAGTATGTTGCTGGGGATCTGCATGCTTTAGGGTCTGAAATGCTGGCTGCTTTGGCAGTTGGAGGGAAAGTGGAATAAGCCCTGGCCTTTGAGGGAAGGTTTTGTGGGAAACTCCATGCAAGGAACTTTGAGGAGTTTCCAATTCCCTATGTAGGTTTTTTTCCCCCGTGTGGATATTTGGGCCTTAGGTTTGTCTGCTGAAGATGGGAGCTAAATCAATCTGGATTGACTGACGATAAAGACTAAGGACCAAATTCTCTCCTTGCATCAACTGAGGCATCACCACTGAAATTCACTGGACCTACTTCAGTTTATGGTCAGCACAGAATTTGGCCCTAAAACTGCTATAGCATGGAATTATCATCTAAAAAGTACATACTGTATAATAACTTCTTTCAACTCCCTCCTTCAACCCTGATTTAAGTCACAGGATTGGGGCTTACAATAGTAGTTCCCTCACTCAAAGTCATAATGATTTGATTTACTGTACTTTATCCTCCAGTCTATTTGTGACCTGGTAGCAAAATGTACATTCAGTTTCTGAAATCTTTTCTGACAATAGCAGCAGATGCCAGCCTTGTAGTTTGCTGGAGGAACAAGTTACCTGTAGCATGGAGGAGTGTTATATAATGAGCCATTTCCTGCTTGTACTTTGTAGTCCAATACTATAGGGCATTCTTTAAGTGCAAAGCCCAGCAAATCCTCGCGCACTATTACCACAGTTACTCCAGCACAGCCAGCGTTCTTCTGGGCACCAGCAAAAATGACACCAAACTTTAATAGAAAGAAAATGATTTTCTTAGAAGCAATGACTTATTCAGAAATATTATACAGTTATAAGATCTGTCTCTCTATAAATATCAAGACTTACACAGCATTATCTGAATGGCTAAGAAAACATATCCCAATTTTTGAGGGGTGGAGGAGGATCAATTTTGATTTCAGGGGTCACTTCCAAATTTCAGACAATCAACATTTTCCTTTGTTTATCTGTACTGTCAAAATTAAATACCTTCTTTCATCTGAGGCAGTTCACTTCAAGAACCATCTCACTTTGTTTACCAAGGGTCCACCCAGTAGCCACAAATTATTCTCAGAGAAGCCTGTCTCCATCTGTTAGTACCCCAAAACAATTTGCTTGAAAAACAAATAGCAGCATTTTCAACAAACCCCCCACTGGTCCAGAACTGGCACCCTATAATCTCTAGCTACTCAAAGGGAAGTAAAGGAAAGGAGACTCAATGAAACCCAATTTGGCCCTAAACTATTTGGCCCTACTTTCCCCTGGCACAAGTTGCTATGGAAAGTCAGATGCCTATGTTTCACTACAAGTGAAAAAGTACACAAATCAATAACACTTCATACTTCCATAGTGCCTTTCATGCAAGAATATCAAAGCATTTTAAAAATACTGGTAAGTGTCATATCCCCGTTTCACAGACAAACTGATGCACAGAGATTAAATGACTTGACTATGGTAAAGGCTAAGATTTTTGTCATGGTTATTTTTAGTAAAAGTCACGGACAGGTCAAGGGCAAATCAACAAGAATTCATGGAAGCCATGACCTGTCTGACTTTTGCTGCTGCAGCTCCATGCTTTCCCCTGCCACCATGGTGGCTGGGAGCTGTGGGGTTCCCCCTCTGCCCAGAGCAGCTGGAAGCCGCAGGGCGGCGGTCCCTGCACCCACAGTGGCTGGGAGCTGCAGGGTGACCATATTTCCCAAAGAGAAAATGGGACACCTCCAGCCATTCGCCCGAGGCATCCCCCTTTCCCCTGTGCGAGGCTGTCGCCCATCCCTGGAAGCCTGAGGTGGGCCCCCTCCGGAGTCTGTCACCTGTCCCTGGAACCTTGCAAGGGGGCCCCTGTCACTGCTGTCGCTGGAACCCTGCCAGGGCCCCGCTGGCTGCCAACTCCAGTCCCGCAGCCCCAGGGGCTGACGCAGAGAATGTCATAGAGGTCTCTGAAAGTCATGGAGTCCGTGACTTCCATGTCCTCCATGACAAACGTAGCCTTAACTATGGTCATACAGCTTGTCCGTGGCAGAGTCAGGGTAGAATCCAGAAGTCCTGACACCTTGTCCCCTGCTGTAACCACTTGAAGGAAAAGCTAATACTCAAGAGCCACTTCAGCATCACTTAAGACAACACAAACAACTATCTATCTTAGAAGATTCTTAGTGTAAGGCCATGACTGTCTCTCTTTTAATGTGGTGTACAGTGCTGAGCACTCACACAGCAGTAAACATAATTTGACATGTCCAATTCTTAGTGAACAAGATAGCACATTAGAGACACAATATTCAGACTTGAGTGCCTAATTCCTTATAAAGGTACCTAAAAAAAGGGAGGCCTGTGCTCCAACAGCTTCAGTGGGAGTGGAGAATGCTCACCACAGTCCAGCCACTTTTTTGTCTAATCCAAGTTTGAAGAGGTTGGACTGCACTTTGTAAAGCGAGCATGTTTGATACTGTACCTTGGAAACATCTACTGGTCTGGACAAGAAATTTGATGACATATCACACACCAAGACTGCTCCTCTGACATCAGGTACAAAGTCAAACTCCACACCATGAACAGTCTCATTAGCACAGTAGTAGACATAAGAGGCATCCGGTTTAAGATTCCAGCTGCTTGTGTCAGGAATTTCTGAGACAGATAATAAGAGGAGAAACAAAGGTTACCGAAGACAGGTAGAATCAACACTCTAATTTTACTGGTGTAACTTTACTTTGGCACTGAACTTTAAATTGCTATTGAGAGTGTTTTATTACACTAGGCAACAATAGTTTTTACCAGCAACAAATCAAATTCACCTGTAGGCTAGGTACAAAAAAAAGCCTACTGCACTGAGAATAAAGAACGTACCCATCCCTAAAGACTCTAGTCTGCACCCACTGAAGGAAAAACTCCAATTAACTTTAATGGGTCCAATAGAGCTCATAACATTACAGGGGAGTGGCATCTTAAGCGGGGGTTAGGTTCGGAAGTCAGCGCGTAAGGTGAAAATCGCATATAGTCAAACGCTTATTGAGTGGAATGGTGGGCGGAATCACCTGCAATACAGGTACAGTACTTAAATTGTCTCTTTTTTTTTTGTTTTGCCGAGAGCGTATAGTTAAAATCGCGTACGTTAAATGCGCCTATTCTGCGACTCCACTTATAGGCAAAAATTAGGAAATAGCAAGATGATGTTAAAGCCACTAAGGGCATGGCTACACTTGCAGATGTAGAGCACTGTGAGTTAAACCCGCCTTCAGAGAGCACAGTAGGGAAAGCGCTGCAGTCTGTCCACACTGACAGCTGCTTGTGCACTGGCATGGCCACATTTGCGGCACTTGCAGTGGCATTGGGAGCGGTGCATTATGGGCAGCTATCCTAGCATGCAAGTGACTGCAATGTGCTTTTCAAATGGGGGCGGGGGGGAGATGGGGTGGAGTGTGACAGGGAGTGTGTTGTGTGTATGTGGGGGGAGAGAGAGTGGAGTTTTGGGGGGCTGAGAGCATGTCAGCATGCTGCCTTGTAAGTTCAGCCAGCAGCAGTACTTCCCTCCCTCCCCCCCAGCATTCCACACTAATCTGTCTCGGAGCAGATAAGCAGCCGGCTGTCAGAAATGGAGCTTTCAAACAGCATATCCGCATTCCTACAGCGAGTTCAAAACAATGAGAAGAGTGGCCACTTGACTTAAGGGGATTATGGGACGTTTCCAGAGGCTGATCAGAGCGCAATAACGCAACACCTGGTCCACACTGGTGCCACGGTGCTCCAGTGGGGGCGCAGCAAACGTTATTCCACTAGCCGAGGTGGAGTACAAGCAGCGCTGTAGCTGCAGAGTCAGAGCACTCTACATGCCTTGCCAGTGTGGACGGGGAGTGAGCTAGGGCGCCCGGAGCTCCTTTATTGCGCTGTAACTTGCAAGTGTAGCCAAGCCCTAAGATATACCTTTTACAGTATAAGAGGCATTTATGCAAGACTGAACTGCATCTAGATCCAGCCAATTGATATATCCATAGCTGCTATGGCAAGGGGAAGGAGAAGTTTAGGGCACATAAATCAGTTCATCATTTTGTCCAAGAAGTCTTCTTGGACTGTCACAGTGCAGTTCCCTTTGCTCAAGCTTCTTTTCCCAACCAGCCCACCTCCATCCTAGGGGCCAGTTCCTTTCCCAACTTAGCAGGCTGGCCCTCAAGGCCCACTTGCTTCTGGAAACCAGCTCCCTTCCCCAATGATTTCAGAACACAGGGAATTGCTAGGGTTCCAGAAGCAGCCTTCTTATGACAACTGCCTGAAGCGGGAATCCCCAGCACTTGCAGAGAGCAGTGCCCTTGTGAATGGGTTACACCTTTTTAAATGCTTTAGATTATTCATCAAATCACACAAATTAAAATTGTAAAAGACCTATCGGATCATCCAGTCCATCTCCCTGTCAAGACAGGATTGTTTCCCACCATACAGTTTCTAGGGTCTGCTCAGTCTAGTTTTAAAAGTCCTGAGGAATGGGGCTTCCCTTCCTTCCTCAAAGGAGAACATTGAACAGTTCAATGGCTCTCACTGTCAGGTAGAACACATAGATGATGTTGGCAGTTCAAAAAAGGTTGGCGCCCAACTGTTTAACTGGTTCTATTCAGTAACCTCACAATCATTTCTGGAATGATTCAAATGTGGGAGAATTGTTCTCCTAGAGCAACTTGAAAACCTTGTTAGATGTGACTACATGCAAGATTTCCAGACACAGCAAGCTAAATGTCAACTTACTTGTGTAACTTCCAAGTTTAGGATGAACAATGTTCACTTTGGCATATTTCTCTGCCTCCTTAGCTGCCTTTGCTGACCAAGCTCCAGTAACCACATAATCTGCACATCTTCCTTCTTTTAGTCCAATAAGGTTAAGTGGAACAGCACTGAACTGACCAGACCCACCCCCTTGGAGGAAAATGACTTTGTAGTTTTCTGGAATATTTCTGTGTAAAAGAAGGAAATTAGTTTTCTATTTCAAACAAAATTATGCACAGGACTTAGTACACTCTTTGCTACTACACTTGCTGCAAAAGTCTTGAGAGAGTTATATCAGTTTTAGATAGGGTCATTTCAAAGACATTAAAGCAAAAAGTTAACAGTTTGGTATTGGTTTGATCTAGGTATGAGGAGCCATTTCATTGGTCAATACAAAACATTAAGATGATGTCACAAAAAAACCTTGCTTGTTTCTGACACTAACAATAAACAAAGCCATTCACTAGTACTAATTCTATTGTAGCATGTTTAAACCACAAGTAAGATGGTGTATACGTACAACAGAATTAATGTTCATGAATGGCTCACAGAAAATCGTATTTTTTCATTTCTTTTAATATATAATTTCAATGTCAGAAACAATCGGTTTAGAAAAAAGAATGGACTCCTGAAGGCAAAGATTTACAGATTGGTCTATTGTTACGGTAGATGTATGCTAAAAGTGTACAATTAATGAGCTTAAAAGTGGAGTTTAACTTTGAGACCAAATTTTAAAAACTTGCATGTACAATTGTATCTAACAGGGTTGCTGTCCTTTATGAGGTCTATATCCATGATAGATTGGAGTTTTAAAAACATGCTATTTTGAGTTAATAAGATTTTATAAAAGCATATGAAAAGTTTCTTAACCTAATAAAAACACTTTAGGCATACTCAGATAAAACAAAAACTAGCAAACGGAAGATCAATTTCAGTCCCAAATTTATATATTTTATTATCGCTATAGTATCTGAAAAACAGGTGCTTTGATGTGAAGGGCTTTCACATTAATCATTGAGTTAGTTAAAAATACCCAAAACTTACAGCAATTCACGTAAGAGATTTTCAGCTGTGTTTATAATTTTTGAGAAATCAGATGTCCTATGGCTCATTTCTATAGGGTGGAAAAAAATAGAGATAATATGAAAGAAAACCATAGCACAAACTTGACTTTATAAAACAGCTGGATAAGCGGCAAAGCCTTCTGTAAGCCAGTTGTCCCTGATATAAACCACAATGCTTAATATTTTAATAATACTTTGCTCACATAGTTCCGAACTCAGCAAAGCACTTAATCACATTCGTAAGTCCATCCCTAATTCAGCAAGCAGCCGCTCCAAAACCCACTGAATTCAATGAGCATTGGATCAGGCTCCAAGGCACTAATGCATGTGTTTAAGTGCTTTGCTGAATCAGGGCATGGTGCCTTTCTGCTGAAGAACATGAACCACACTAAAAAGTATTATTCCCATTTTATAAAAGTAAACTGAGACACAGAGACGTTAAGGCCCAATTTTTCAAACACGAAGCTTAGCCGAATAAGGGGCTGGACTTCCAGATGTGACATACATCTGCAGCTCCAGTTAAATTTCATCCCACACATGGGTGCTCTACACTTCTGAAATTCAGAGCAATTTTTAAGATATCTAAACATGGCCCTAACCATCTAAGTTTGAAATCTGGTGCCAGGGATTTGCCTAATACTTCAAAGCAGACAGAGGCAGAATTTGGATTAAAACCCAGGTCTCCAGCCAGACTCCCAGGCTCATGCTCTAACTCCCTCCCTTTTAATTCTGTTTTTGGTAACAATCCAAGTATATTTTCCCTTTTATCATTTTAACATCTCAGTATAGAGCTGCTCTGTAACCAAAGTGTAGTTTTTAAGGGGCTTCTTTGTTCAATAATCCTGTTGAAGAGCTAAGAATCATTAATATTAATCCTCATTATCAGACCTCTACTCACTCTATTTGTAGAAGTTTATGACTTATTACAAAATAAGGCCCTGATCCCGTAGAGCAGGACTGCTAAGTGCATTGCATAAACTTTCTTTTCTTCCTTTCTTTTTTTGTTTTGCAAGTTTGGGCTCTGAAGAGTGAAACAGACATGCATGTGGCACAAAAGACAGCAAACAGGACCCCATATTTCCTTCTTAAATGTAAATGTGGCTTCATATAAATTTGGAAGATTTATACAATATAGATAAATATAATATAGGGGCATTAAAAAGGCATTTATTCTCCACTGACAAAATTAACGAACAAACATCTTTTGCAAAGATCCAGAAGCACTAGCTATGATTTGTTGTGTTCCTTGCCTCTGGGCCTCAGTGTAGGATCAATATAAAATAGATAAAAATATAAAATCTCTGTCCACATGTCACTTCATAACCTTCTAGTGGATGATTAGTGTAGAGAAGAAAACAATGTGTAAGCAGATCCTCAGGACTCAGACGCCTTCCGAGGTTAAAGGGGTAAGAAATTTTAAAAGGAAATGCGACACTTGATTGAAATCTACAGCTCAAAATTTCTTATACTTATTTCATAATCCAGCTAAACTTCTAAACTCCGTAAAACACAGAATAATTTTAAAAAAGCCTTACCAAGTACACTTATACCAAGTCCTTTGTAGTCCACCAATTCTTTCTGTGCTTCTAGCAATACCTACCCAAAAAAAAAAAAAAAAAAAATCAATTTGTCATCATTGTGTGCCAGTGCTGAAGCATAAACATCCCAGCTACTGCATATTGTGGCAATGTGACATTTCTCAGTCCATTGTAAAATTACTGAAATTTCAGATACTACTACAACTTCACCTTATCTACTAGCTTGTCATATGACAGGATAATCAAATCATGTGCCCACTGTGGGTATTCTTCATCTCAAGTCATAGTCCTATGGTTCAGTGTCCAGACTATTACAGTGTTTGCATGGTTTTGCTGGACCTTTCCACCTCCTTTGTGCTGATTTAACAACAACAAAACTTGGAGCATATATTAGCTCCTTCTATCTGTAGATCACCAATTTGCTACAGTATACAGATGGGGAAACTGAGATTCTGAGAGTTATGGCCAGAAGCAAACTTGTGAATTCTGAGTGGCTTACCTGGAGGCAACTTAAAGTGGCTTGATTTTCAGAGCACAGGTGCTCAACTCTTCCTGATAATCAGATTTCTTTAAGGTGTCTCAAGTTGGGCTCCCAAAAATAAATAAATAAAATGATGTGCCCCCCAAAAAATTCACTGGTCACTTTTGAAAGTCTAGGCCTAAGTGAATAGATGCCCCAGCATGTCCTCTCCTGTTGCTATCATACACCAATGAGCTGCACTCAGGGTCTAACCATTAAACCATGTTGCCCACAACTGGAATAATTCTTAGCTCACAAAATGAAAATAATATTCTGTCTCCCCCTCAAAGGAGAGAGGAGAGTGAAGAACTCAACAAAGAGCTCTCCTTGGCAAACATAAGCACACCATTTATGGATTTGCCAAGGAATCATATGCTCTGAAGAATTGCACAAACTAAGTGTGACATGTGACCAGAAAGGGTTAAGCATCCTGCAGGATGAATGACTCAAATTCAACCCTTAAAGAAATATGGGGAGATAATGTTGGTGTTTTTGTATTTACATATATATCGGTAGGGGTCAACAATGTAATCAACAGCCCCTGTCTATGCTGTATTCTGTTAATTCAGAGATCAAAAGAACATCTTAACATTTAAATGAACTGTAAACATAGGATGTCTGTATTCATCTCGCTTTGAAATGTATAGCAAATCATCTGCAAATGGTGGAAAGACAGGCAATTACTTTATGTCAGGGATGGCCAACCTGAGCCTGAGAAGGAGACAGAATTTATCAATGTATATTGCCAAAGAGCCACAGTAATACGTCAGCAGCCCCTCCCATCTGCTCCCCCACCCACTCCCCGCTCCCAGCACCTCCCACCCACCAGCAGCCCTGCCAATCAGCACCTCCTCCTCCCTCCCCACACCTCTTGATCAGCTGTTTCGTGACATTCAGGAGACCCTGGGGGGAGGGGAGAGGAGCAAGGGCATGGCACGCTCAGGGGAGGGGGCGGGAAGGGGTGGAGTGGGGGCAGGGCCTGTGGCAGAGCCAGGGGTTGAGCAGTGAGCGCACACACACACACCCCGGCACAGTGGAAAGTTGGCACCCATAGCTCCAGCCCCGGAGTCGGTGCCTATACAAGGAGCCACATATTAACTTCTGAAGAGCCGCATGTGGCTCCGGAGCCACAGGTTGGCCACCCCTGCCTTGTGTTAATCTGTGTGAATAACTACCAGGTGATGCTTAGGAAGTAAATCTACTTCAAAGTCACCCTGATTGCCTATTGTTTACCCAGGACTCTATAGTCATGTGGATGCTAGAACATTGTATAAAAGACCCTTGGGTCCTGATCCTGTCATCTCAGATCTGCTTAAGCTTCATTAGGGGAAGTTTGAGTCACAAGATTGAGATCCCAGTTAAGCTGGTACACCCTGAATATGATATTGGACATTGGACTATAATCTATGGGATAAATTCTAAAAGAACTCTTTGCAACTACAAAGCTCACCATCTCTGCTACGAATCTGAACCTCAAGAATTGAACTCCTGTCTATGAATGTTGATCTTTTAACCATGCTCTCGCTCTCTCTTTTCTTTTTTAAAAAATTTTAGTTTAGTTAATAAGAATTTTCTGTAAGCGTGTATTTGGGTACGATCTGGAACATTCATTAACCTGGGAGGTAATGTGTTCGATCCTTTGGGGTTGGTAGAACCTTTTCTTTTTTATATGATGAAATAAGATTTTCAGAAATCATCATTCTTGACTTGGGTATCTGGGTGGAGGACTGAGGCTGGGTTACTTTAAGGGAACTGTGTGGTTGGGTTCTGGGCAACCAGTGAGGTAATAAAGAAGCTGTTTGTGCTCACTTGGTAAATCTAAGTATTGGAATATCCCCCAGCTTTGGGGATTGTCTGCCCCATTCTTTGCAGTTCACCCTAACTGAGTGACCTCAGCTGGCTCCCCTGGGATCCCCATCACACTAAGCAAACTGCCTTCCCAATAAGAAATCTGCATGACCTGTTGAGGGTACCAGGTGGTCACCACCTGACTGATCTGGAAAGAGTGTCACTTTTGACATCTGCAGACTGTGAACTTTGGACTAGTGGACAGCACATGCAGATTGATAATTTTTTCCCTCCTGAGCCAAAAACACAAGCAAGATACAAAGATCTCTTAAGAATTGAATTAAAAACAGTGTTATGTGTTAGTAACATTGTTTCAGGGGAATTTGTAATTAAAAAAAAGGGAGGGAGGAAGAGATTACTTTTACAAAAGAATGTGCTTCTTCCTCTCACACACTAACAATCCCCCTCTCCCAAGTCTTAAAACAAAATGTGCAAAGGTCAACAGCTCCTGGCATTCCTTTGTTTCAATGGGAGTTTGGGGAATGCAAGGAAAGCAGGATTAGACCCTACTAAAACTGAAGTGAAACATTCCATTGCAAGAGTATTGCAATTTCCAAACAAGGGGGGCAAAAACAAACTAACAAATTGTAGAGCCTGATCCTGTCCTCCCTCGCTTACAAAAATAGTCCTTAGTCACACAAGTAATCCCATATAGGTCACATGACTACCAATACTTCGCAATTAAATGATTGCAGGATTAGACATTAGAGCAGCACCAATGAAAGAGTGCTTTCCTGTCTAAATGCTTGGTTAGAAAACACAAGTTTATTTGCAATATAACCTACAAAATATTTCCAGAAAATTCGCTGGATGCCGCTCAATAGACACCTGACTGAGAAAGAACAGCAGCCACGAAACAAGAATATACTAGAACAAACCCAGACACAGAAGTAAAAAAAAAAAAATGCTGACAGTACATAACCATTGTGTGGAAAATTGGAAGCTTTAAATTAAAGCATGAGCCACTCCTCCACCCAGATGTAACTGGATAACTGATAGCTGCTGATGCAACTTTCCAAAGGATTAAGTCTATACTTTAGACATTATCATTTTTTCCATATAAAAGTGATTAAAGATTGCTCCTTCACTTAGCTCTAGCTTTAATTTGCTGTAGTTACACTAACGGATCTGGAAATACACCACTTTCAGTAAGGGAGATAAGTATCCAACAATTAATTACAAATTTATCAGGTTTTGCAGTTATGAGAACTAGATTACTTTGACCTTTTATTTTCCCCAGCAGTAAGGGCAAGTTTTATTTCTAGAAAGAAAACTCACTGATGTGTTAATAGTATGGATTTTTTTAAGCTTAATTTTCCCACAGTCTGCAGATCTGCAATGACAATAGCCAAATGGGAAAATGCCATTTCAGCCAAATGCCTTTTCTCAAACCGGCAATATGCCACAAAAAACTGACAGTGAGAATTACCTAACATGCCAATGAGTTATACCTGAAAGCAATGCACTAAGTCTCTAGCCTTGGAACAAAATGAATTACAGATGACCAACATGCTTCAGATTTAGCAGTTAAGGGGAGAGGACTAGTAGATACCTACTTGGGTTAACAGTAAAACAAGTCCCCTGCAATGCAGGCACTGCTTTAACCGTAGGTACTGGAGCGAGCATCCCGAGAGGGACGTTAACCTTAACCACAGTCTGAGCTTCAGGAGAAAGATCCCTGGTTTCAAACTGGAGTTTGACCTGTCACAGACCCTGGTAACACTGACCCCGGGCAGGACTTCGAGCCTGCATCTGCGGTGCCGAGCTGAGAATACTTCCAACAGGAGACGCAGCCAGCCAACCAGTGCCAGCACGCCCGCAGATTTAGCTGACTTCAGCAGCACCCAGCCTCTGCTTTACCCATTTCAATCCTTACCCCTCTCTTTCTCCCCAGGGCACACCGCCTCCCCCGGCCCGCGCTGAGCGACCGGCGGGGGGACGGGGGGACGGGGGTCTGCCAGCCTGAATCACCCCAACCCAATTCCAGACGAGCCGGATTTACTCCCGTGCTAAACGCCGCGGAGTCCATCTCCCCCCCATCTCCGGTGCAAGCCCGAGCGCTCCCGCTGCAACAGCGTCTTGTTCCATTCCCGGGGCGGGGGCGCTACTTTCCGCCCCCTGCCAAGCCCCGGCGCAAACTCCCGTTCCCAGAGCAAGCCGGGTCCCCCCCGCCCCGCGCCAGGCTGCCGCAATTCCCGCGGCCGCAGACTCCCGGGTACTCACCGAGCGCGGCAGCTTAGCGGGTCCCGCGCCGAAGTTAACCACCTGCCTCTTAGCGTCCATGGCCGAAAGATGCTGCTCCGGCCGCCTGCGGGCCCAGCTAGAGCACGGGGCAATAATCACACTCAGCGGCCTGGTTTCCTATTGGTCCCCGTCACATGGGTCTGTTTATACCCACGCTCTGATTGGCCGCTGGGCTGAGAGTCGCGCAGTCATTGGCCCAGTCGCCACGAGCCCGCAGCGTGATCGTTCCACCCCCCAGATGCAAGGTAGAGCCGAGATTGCGACATTCTGCCGCTGCAAACTGGAGGAGGCGAGGATAGTGCCTGGGACGACGTTCTGCGAGTCAGTGCTAGCCCTAGCCTTGCTCCCTTGCCACACCCCCTCTCCAGTAAGGTGGAGGGAATGCATCCAAATGCAGGGCCACAGGAGATGCCTTAGATGAGACTCATGCTTCTGACATGCAATTTCACAATTATCCTGTATGTCTCCCATGCTGAACTTTACCCGTGGGCTGCCAGTTCTTGATCCAAATGTCCAATTGCTTGTTTTCAGGAAACAAGACATTTTAACAACCACATGTATAAACATTTTGAGTAAAACATAGCACCACATTTTTTTGTGAAAAAATTTCAGCTTAGGTAAAAGTCCATCTTTTTATTAAAAATACGTTCATTGAAAAAATATTGATCAACTGTATTTAATGTGCAGCTGCAGTCAAAAAAGCAAACAGCATGTTGGGAATTATTAAGGGATAAATAAGACAGAAAATATCATATTGCCTCTATATAAACAGGAGTGGCTCCAGGGTTTTGGCTGCCCCAAGCAGCCAAACAAAAAACAAAAAAAAAGCCGCGATCGCGATCTGCGGCGGCAATTCAGCAGGAGGTCCTTCGCTCCGAGCAGGAGTGAGGGACCGTCCGCCGAATTGCTGCCGAACAGCTGGACGTGCCACCCCTCTCCAAAGTGGCCGCCCCAAGCACATGCTTGGTAAGCTGGTGCCTGGAGCCGGCCCTGTATATAAATCCGTGGTGCGCCCACATATTGAATACTGCATGCAGATGTGGTCTCCCATCTCAAAAAAGGTATATTGGAATTGGAAAAGGTTCAGAAAGGGCAACAAGAATGATTAGTGGTATGGAACAGCTGCCATATGAGGCGAGATTAAAAAGAGATAACTAAGGGGGGATATGATAGAGCTCTATAAAATCATGAGTGGTGTGGAGAAAGTAAATAAGGAAGTTTCACTCCGTGCATCTGAAGAAGTGAGGTTTTTTACCCACAAAAGTTTATGCCCAAATAAATCTGTTAGTCTTTAAAGTGCCACCAAACTCCTTGTTTTTGTGGATACAGACTAACACGGCTACCCCCGATAAATAAGGAAGTGTTATTTACTCCTTATAACACAAGAATTAGGGGTCACCAAATGAAATTAATAGGCAGCAGGTTTTAAACAAACAAAAGGAAGTATGTTTTCACACAATTTTTTCTACTTGAGATGTATCCAAAAATCTCTCTAATGAATTTTTACCAGGCTCAGTATGATAAATATGATCCTGGAAGGGAAGACTTATATTGACTATTGCCGGAAAAGAATCAACCCATCCAAGGAAACAGTGTGGGCAGAGTATCTGGCAGGTAATGATAATGGGCAAACTAATGTCATTATTAAAGGACAAATACTGTTGAGTACATAGCACCCTGGCAGTTATTTCATGGGACTGTTGAGAAAGATCTGAAATTAGGACCATAAACCACTGAATCTGGAAAATTCTGCTGAAACTTGAAATCATCGGTGCTGACTCCGTGGGTGCTCCAGGACAGGAGCACCCAGGGGGAAAAAATGGTGGGTGCTGAGCACCCACCGGCAGCCCCCTATCAGCACTTCCCCCCCTCCCCGCACCGCCCTCCCATCACAATCAGCTGTTTCACGGCATGCAGGAGGCTGGGGAGGGGAGAGGGAGGAGCGAGGATGTGGCACGTTTCGGGGAGGAGCTGGAACGGGGTGGGAAAACATGGAGCAGGGGTGGGAAGGGGGGGGGTGGGGGAGGGGCGGGGGTGTGGCTTTGAGGGAGGGGGTGGGGTGGGGGCGGGGCTTGGGGCACAGCTGGTGCTCATCGAGCACCCCCCGGCACAATGGAAAGTCGACGCCTGTGCATGCAGGAACAGAGCCCTCTGCATGCGACTCTTACCTATGCCATATAGAAGTGTGTCGGGTGAGATGAGGTGCCATGGAGTCAGATGCTTTTGCACACCGGCTGTATTGCTTTTCTTTCAGGAAATCGTCTATCGTCTGGAAGTATCTTTTCAGTTTCAGGCTGGTGAGCAGGAGGTTCTCATTTCCTGAGTAGGTTATCTCCTTTCCCTTCTCAGCACTAAAACACATCACCACGTTCTCAATCTGCTGGTGACGACCATTTTGGAATTCCTTTATGAAAGTCCCATTCCAGGCTGCTTGGGTAAGATTGTCATTAAAGATATGGAAGAGCTCTTGGAGGATCTGCTTGATGGCTACCTTGGCATTCTCTTGCTGGGACAGTTGGATCTTGAGGATATCTCTGGTCTTGAAAGCTGTCCTTTCATTTAGACATTGAAAGGGAAAGTTTCCACCCATTTTCTCCAGATGCTCTAAACTCTCGCTGTTCATTCTGGTTTGTAGAACATAAATCCTGTTACAGTCCAGACATGAGATTTCACTGGAAAAAAGGAGCATGAGGCAACATTGCAGCAACCACCTGCTGATCATGATGATGTCTTAGATTCCTTGTGTTTGTGTAGAACTTGAGCAAGTTCAAGGTAGACTTTTGTGTTTTCGACCCATGTCTCTGAATGTAAGTATTCCGTAGGAAAAGATTTTTCTTTTGTCACTTTCTACTTTTCAAGGTTTTTCCTGCTTGAGGTTTTCACTTTCAGTTTCCTTCTTTTTATTTAGTGGAAGTGAACAAGTCATTAGAAGAACAAAATCACAGTCATTACCTTTTTTAATATTAAAGAATCCCTACATTTCTTTCCTTAGGTTCCCCCTGCTCTCTTAGATAAAGAAAATTTAAAGACTAAGAAGAGTATGATGATTAACAGTGTCATCCAGTTACAGGTTACAGTAGGGATTTGTCTGTCTACTCCCAAATTCCTGTAGTTAGCACTGCTAGACAGGTCTGAATGTCTGTTACGGCAGCAAGACTATCCATGCTTTTAAGTGATAACAATAAATTTTGGCCGAGGGGCGGGGCGGGGGGGCGGAATTACTGCAGAGCTTCTCTTTGCTAGACTCTGCAGATAACAGCAGTGAAGTGATGTGTAAAGCTGCTGTTCCTTCACTTTGCCAGCAGGTGGAAAACTTTCCCTCTCTGGTGTCGCACTCAAAATCAGAAAACCCTGCTATGCTCTGGCTGTCTTATTTCCTCCTTCCAACCTTATAGGGACCTCTTAAAATGTGATAAGCATGGAAAAAATTCCTATGAGAGATTGGGACCAGACAAGTCTCTATTAATCTCACGCAATTTCCTGGCCATTTGAAATATGAGAGAGGAAAACCCATCTGTGTAGGGAATACCAGAGGATGGACAGAGGGCACTGAGAAACTGGGTGGTTTACTTAAGAACCCGATACCAGCTGTGAAAAGCCCAAGGAACAGGTACAGTCGAAGGGTATGAACATGCTGTCTTCCCGGGCACTTCTGAGTAGTTCCCAGTGATGTAGTGTAGTGACATGGAAGGGAGTTGTCCAAAGAGATTGTGTGGTTGGTAATAAATATGCCAGAGTGAGTGACATAAATGAATGTCACTTTCAAATGTGTTTGCCTTTTCACCATTCAAGCTTTATTCTTTTTTCAATGTGCATTTCACTGAGCTTGGACATTGAAATTCAAGTGGTCTGATGAATGAAGTGTGCATCCTGTAGCAAGTTTCACTTTCTGTTTGTCATACCATTGCACTAGGCTGTCAGTTTGTAACATTTTCATGGACTCTCATTGTGCTGGCACCAACTCTGGCCCCCGGGCCAGGGCCGCCACCGACTCTGGCCGACAGTTTCATAAAGATGTGTTCAGCTACTGAGGGTCTAATCCTCCCAGAAGAAATGTAACATTTTCATGGTGTGATGTTCTGTACCTCCACCACTCAGGCAGTGCAGCTGCCCCCCACTCTTAGAGGCATAACTGTGTCCCACATGTATATATTTGTTATAACATTGCATTGGCCAGGAAGCATCACTTTATATTGCACATGCTACATTGTACATGTACATTATACATAAAATCATATTTCCTTTTGTAAAGATGTAACCACTTTATGTAAAATAGAGCAAAATGCTTAAAACTGTTCAAGCACATTATGTGAGGAAAAGATACACACTGAAAATGCGTTGCAGTTACTGAAGTATTTCCCAGGCCTAGCTCCTTAAGTTCTGCATCTCAGGATATAAGATACTCTAGACCGGCTGTACAAAGGGAAACTGTCTCTACAATGTAAATAGGTGAAGTGGTCTAAGACATACTTGCTTTTCTTGGGCAAGACCTTGTAAAATCAGATTACATGTCCTTCAATTTTGCTCAGTTTTGCTGTGTAAAAGAATGAAAGCTGGCACCTCCTAGAGTAGAAAATCTCCCAAACATTTTAGAAACTAATCAACCACTATATTAAGTCACACGTGCTGCCCTACCCTCTGTTTATATACAAAACCAGAATACAAGCAGAATAGCTGTACTGTGCTGAGAGCAGGGTGTGTGCTGGGAAGTCTCTATGCCCCTTGGACTCTGTCATGCCTTTCTTTGCAACAGAATGAGGGCTGCAGGTGTAGCCACTAGACAAGACTGTGCTGCAGTAGGTGACAACCAATGTATGAGGTGTATAGGAACCCCAAGTTTTTCCTTTTTAATTTCAGTGAAAATAGTTTTCTTGTTGAATTTCCCTGCCATGATGGAAACTCCAGCACAACAGTCTGTGCTAGGGCTTGAAAACCAGAAAATGAACCGTGACCACAGGAAGTGAAGAGAATTAAACAAACTAGAAGAATTTCCCTGCCCAAGCTGAGGAGAAGGCAAATGTTAAAAGAGAAGGAACCAGCAAAAATGGTGAACATTGAATTTGATTTTTTTAAAATGATTTGAATTCTTTCATTCCAGGGACACAACTGGTTAAAAAAACAAACAAACAAACAAACAAAAACCATAATGTGACTTCTCTGCATAAACTCCTTCTGACCACATTGTAAATCATAGTCATCCATGTGGGTACCTCTCTAGCATGTGTTACTATACTAATTTCTCATCCTGTTTTATGAATTATTCTCACTTTTTCACTATTGTCAGCTACTTGGAGTGATCAACAGGACATGATATTCACACCTTTCAACTGCATCTATTCCTCAGCTACAGTATGTATATAAAGACCTGGAAATAGAATGCTCTGAGAAAATGAAACCTTAACTCATTGTTTATCTCCTGTGGTTTCACAGAAGGAAGATACTGTTTGTGCTGTCTACATTTTAAATGTGCCTTCTAAATTGGAAGAAATGGTTAAAGTTGAGATTTGCCAATATTTTTGGGAGGCCTAACCCTTTCCTCCCACATTTACTTCCTCCATGCCTAGCAAACTTTAAATATTCCTCAACTATTTCTGTCTCTCAAATGAAGGAAGTTATGAATGGGAAGTGCACTGGCTGACAAATTGGAGGTCTTTTCCATACCACTTTGGAATTTTGGATGATCTTAAATTATAGAAATTAATGTATGATAAAAAGCCTGTATGTATGTGGATCCAACATGAGTTAACAGGGTTGTGTATTGTCATGCGTGGTCACTTTCACAAAAAAATAAACAAATAAAGGAGGAAATGTGGTAAAAGAACTAGAAAACAGCAAGAAAAACAGAAAGAAAAACTCTGAAACCTCCAAGAAGGAAAATCTTGTAAATAGTAAATGGTCAAAGAAACATTCTCAAACCAAATACTTAAATTCAGAGACATACAGGAAAGACACAGCAGTCTATGTAGGACCCTCAACAAACGCCAGGGTCAAGGTTCCACACAAAGAAAAGGAGTGTATAAACATCACCATGACCACCAGGTGATTGCAGCATGTTTGCCTCATACTGCTCTTCTCCACTGAAATCTCATCTCGGCTCAGTACTGTGCTTCACTTCTAGCAGGACAAAATGAACAAAGAGAGCTTGGAGCTTCTGCAGAAAATGAGCAGAAATTTCCCCTCAAAATGCATAAATGAAAGTGCAGCTTTCAAGCCCAACCAGGATGTTGTCCAACTTTCAGTGTCCCAAAAGGAGAATGCCAAGGTGGCAATTCAAGAGATCCTTCAAGAGATCTTCAACATCTTTAGCAAAAACCTCACCCAAAGTGCCTGGGATGGGACTTCCATAGTCAGGTTCCAAAGTGGACTTTACCAGCAAATTCAGCGGCTGGAGGCATGTGAGAGCACAGATGGAGAAGGACTTAACCAACCCAGAAAGTGAGGACCTCCAGATCACCAGTCGGAGAGTGAAAAAATACTTTCAGGGGATAGATGCTTTCCTGAAAGAAAAGCAATACAGCCTGTGTGCCTGGGAGATCATTTGCATGGAAATACCCAGATGTTTTGTACTGATTAACAACCTCACTAGAAGCCTTAGTAACTAAGGTACAGTACAAATCTTTTCCTTGGAGTAAATGAATTAATATTAGTGTCAATTATACAGCTGAACAGAGATAGCAGATATTTTATAACTCTGCTTATATAGGGCCTGATCCTCTTCTACAGGATCAGTGGCCAAATAGCAACTGATGTCCATGGCAGCAGCTTCAGGCTCTTCCTGTTGTGTGCTGGAAATGGATTTGCAATTACATGGATTTATTTTCCTGTGTTTCTACTTTTATTTAGGTTTGCGATTCTTCATAATCTCCCACATATCAGGTGCTGTTATGTATTACATAATTGGCAGTCCATGCAACGAAGCACATATATTTTGAATCCTTAGCCACCTCACCAGTACTTTGGTCATCAAATAATGATACTTCCCCTCCACCCCCAAAGTACTCTGACTTCTACATATGTAGTGTGTTTCTGTTAAGACCAGGGTTGCTATTTATTAATCTGTCCTCATCATATACCACAGCTTGAGAAGTTTCCTAGAGACATTTTTTAAAAATATGAACGTAGCGTAAGACTTGTGAGATTATGAGGTGTAGAAAAGATATTTTCATTTAATTAATTGACATTAATACAATGGAAAATTTATTTTTCCCTTTGTGTTTCAACCAAATATTATTTCATTCCAGCTGAGGATGCAGTGACTACAGAGGTTAAAACAGTTGGATGAAATTGTACCATGCAGTGGATTCCCTCCTCTCTACTGATCCTTCCCACAGTGACTTCTAAGACTCCATAATGCTTGACCTTCTATTATGGAATACGCTCACTCCATAATGAAATTCCAACTGCCCATATTACAATTTATGTGATAATACGCTGTGATTTACTCAAAGTTTAAATTGCAAAATGAAGGATATTGATGCAAAAAAGTTACAAGAAAATTAAGAAAGGGTTAGACCTTAAACATTGTTGACATTATGTGTTTGCTATATATTTCTGTGGTTCAACTCTTCTCTGATCAAATCTCATCTCTGAACTGTAACATGCAGCTTAGCCACAGTATAACAG